GGTGCACCTTCTGTTTACCTCGGAGTTCTTGACAAGATTCAGAGACGGATATGTAATATAATTGGCCCTGATCTGGCATCTCGTCTACAGTCACTCTCTCTGTCTTTTCTACAAATACTTTCATGGTAATTGCTCCGATGAGCTGCTTTCACTGGTTTCCAGACTCCATGAATTCAAGCGCCCTACGAGGCTGGCATCCCGCTCTCACCCTTTCACTGTAGAAACTTTTAAATGTAGCCGTCTCTTCTACACCAATAGCTTCATACCTCGTACCTCTCGCCTGTGGAACACCCTTTCCTATTACTGTTTTCCTGAGAGCTATAATCTCCAACTATTCAAATGTAATGTCAATCAACATCTCCAGTTACCTTGATCTACCCACTATCCCTCTCCTCATCCTTTCTTCTATCACTCTTATCTGCTCTTGCTCCAAATCTTCCGCAACCCCCTGCATCCTAGTGGCTTCACGCCTTGCTCGGGGCGTAATGCTTAAAAAAAAAAAAAAAAAAAAAAGATATTGGTCCACTCTACCATGCATAGTTTTATATTCAATTAGTGTTAACTCTGTGCAACCTGATATAAGAGGGTCAATTGTTTCTGAATATTTATCACAGAATCTGCATTTGGGATTAACACAATTTTCCGGTATGTTTGCTTTGTAGCATCATCATCATCATCATCATCTTTCGATTTCTGTTATGGTCACACTACCAAGTCTGCGGGAAAACCTAAGGCAGGTAGTGGTGTGTTTTTATGGCTACATTTAATCATTTGTTTTTCTAACTTCCATAACATCACTAGCATTATATGAACAAAGTTCTTAGTGTGTGCGTTGTAATTATCAAGATATTTTTTTTTATTTCTCTTAAGCTGGGATTTCCAGGGATTTTTTAAATGCGTTGTTGTGTTCCTTTTTTATCATTCCGAGCGCACCTACTATAACTGGTACTATTCTTGTTTTCAATTTCCCCATATTTTTCTATTTCGACTTCCAGGTCTTTATGCGTCGATAGTTTTTCAAATTCCTTGGCTGCTACGTTAAAATACGCTGGGCAAGTCAAATCAATTAGTAGGCAAGATTTTTCTTTCGGTTTTTGACAATTATATCCGGCTTATTCGTTTCAATCTTCCTCTCTGTAAAGATGGTGCAATCCTATAGAACTGGGATGTCTCCTGTTTCTGTAACCAGTGCTGGGTGATGTTCATACCAGTGTTTATTAACATCTTTTCTAAAGTGATTGCACATTTTCCAGTGTAAGTATTTCTCTCATTTTATCGTGAAGATTTTTATATTCATTTGGCGCAAGTAGAGAACATCCTGAGATTAGATGGTTTATGGTTTCTTGATATTTGTCACAAAACCTGCATTTTGGATCCACATTATTATGTATGATATCCGCCTGAAAGTTTCTAGTGAAAAGATTCAGGTCTTGTGCTGCAAGAATAAATCCTTCCGTTTCAGCCTTTAATCCAAATGCTCATAACCATTAATGAGTGTTAACTTTATCAACATCGGTTTTATTAGCCTCGTTCTGGATTTTCGCCATGCAGAGGTTTGTCTTACCAGCGTTGTTTCATCTGTTCAAGAGTTTCATCATTGGCTTTCTTTTTCATAATTTTTGCTGTAACAGTTGCTTCTTGGGTTCTGTTTTGTTTTTCTACAGAATCTACTAAATGTAAATCTCATTTATATTTATAATTGTTATGGGGCCCTCCCTTTTTTCATATAAGTGGACTCGACCAAAGTTTTACTTGGGCTGATGCCGTTAAATACCCAGAGTCAATGTGAGTAGAGATAGTAAGAAGACGGAGATTGTGATTGAGTTGGAGGTAGAGTAATAATGTGAGGTAACCGCTTGTAGAAGTCAGTGACAAGCACGTAGATTGTAAGGAAGTCCTACTTCGAGACTGTATATATCTATATGTTATTGCTACTAACCGCGTTCCTGGATTTACTAACAGTATTGCCCTTTGTATTATTGTGTAAATACATTTAATTTCTTATCTTTAATTCTTGCGTTTGTCATTCATTGGAGACCGAATTTCATCTCGGAATCCACAACAATAATCTTCTTTCATGATTAAATATTTTTTTCTTTCTGTTTTTTTGTTATTTGACTTGTTGGCCATGTTCACCATAGTCTATGAATATAGAATACAGCACAGTACGTAATCTGTTCAATGAAACAACGTTAAAGATTAATACTCTCGAGTCAGATATTTTACTGAATCTGACTATATCGCCAATACCACCAGCAGCTGTTCCGTAATTCTTCAGTCGATATTTAGCCACCCCCACGAGGGTTACATGTGGCACAAGGCCGGGATTAACGTTGGATCTCCGAGCCCGTAGGCTCGGCCAAAAATATCCCCTATTCGAACGCGTATAAACGGGTTCAAGGGCAGTCAACCTTCCCAAACAAAACTCTGCCCTTCGGCGGACCCTCGTCCGGGTTATCAAAGGCTGGCAGTGCATATTCGGGAAAAACATGGCCGCCTTTATACACGTCGCATTGAATATTTTGAGTCTTCTGATTGGTTAACCCTTCTATTGGTGAACTATAAAATTAGTCAGCTCATTTTGGCTGGCTCACTAGTACACCAGGGTACCCAAAAGTTCCAACATGACTGATTGTATAATCCAGTTCTTTGTCGTTTCCATATATGTTAGTAAGCCAATAGTTATTGTCTTGTATGGCAATTTTAGCTGAATACATCTTCCACCTTTACAGGGTATGTATAGACGGTCTGCATCAGTCATTGGATACTCTATTTATATGATTAACTTGTTGTTTTCCATATCGACATACTTTGTTTGACTAAATTGATGACAACGGGTGATACCTTGTCTATATTTAAAAACTTTAAGATCCAGGAATGGGGTACACTATTGAATGCCTTACGGTAATCTATCCAGGCAGTACTGAGATTTTTCTTTGTATTGAAGCAGTTTTCTAAGATCATCTTATTAATTAGTAATTGGCCATTACATCCGTAAGAGCCACGTTTGCACCCTTTTTTTCAAGAGGTAGTATGTCATTTTATTCTAAGAAGGAATATATCTGTTTTGTCAAAATAGATGTCAACAGTTTGTAAATAGTGGGAACACATGTAATTGGTCTATAGTTTTTTTGAACATTTGTATCACTATTTATGAGTAGAAGGAATATAATTCCGTTGGTTACCCATGGCGAAATATTAGTAAGATCACTGACCATTTCTTGAAGTCCTTTGGCTAGATTTTTGCGTTCTGTATTTAGATAATAGACCCAAAAGTTAGGAATTTTATCCATTCTAGTTGTGTACTTTTTTCATTGCACATTCAACATCCTCTTTTGTAATTCCCTCCCATGTTTGTTCTGGTTTATTTTTCATGCGTTTTACGTCTTGCATAATCCAATCTGCTTCTTTGTTCTATCCTTAGGGCAAGTCCATATTTTTTCCCAGAATTGTATAACCTCTTCCATTTTTTTGTTTCACTTCAATTTTTTGTTTGCTTATTTCTCTGTAAAATTTCGGTTTGAAAGATTTTGTTCTGTCTATAAAATCTCGATCTTTTTCAGAGCGTCTGATTCTTTGAGCCTTCAGCTATATTGTATGCTTTATTTATCTTTGACTAATAGGACTTTATTTTCATTCCTAATTTTGTATTTTCTTTTTCCTTTTCTCTCTTTTCTATTCGTTACATTTGTTCCATTTGCCAGTTCATCGATTGCTGATAATTCACTTTTAAGTTGTTCAGTTTCTTTGTCTATTTTTATTTTCCAAGGTCGATCTTCATGTCTGGGAGAATGCCTTTTTTTACTTTGATGGTTAATTTTTTACTTGCTGCTATTGTTGATGGATATATTGCTTCATTAAGACTTATAAAGACAGTAGAGTTTAATAGTTTTGAGGTTTGTTTTAATTTTGGGAATTGTTCACGGTTCCTCATTTCCTGATTTTGTGTATGACTTATATGTCTTATGATTTCTTCCTTGGCTTGTTCTATACTATTCTTGTTTTTCTTAAATAATTCGGTTCAATGTGTTTTGCACTCCTTTTATTTCAGGTTTGTAAACGACTAAGATCCGGCCTTTCAACTCTTCGAAACTTTCAACATTATCTTCACAGTGATTGGTGTTTATCTCAGTTTCTTCATTATGATTTGTGGTTTATGTGATGTTAGTACTTTTTATAGCCATTTCTGGTTCCCTTTCATGTTCTGGGGATTTACCTATTCTGGTGGCAGTTCTTTTTATTTCTTTAATTTCAGCATCTGTCAATCGGTTTTTTCTTATGATGTACCTTCTTATATTCGCTAGTTTATTTTCGTCAATGTACTTTCTAATTGTTTGCCCAAACTTTTCTCACTAAATGTCATATATTTGGAGAGATTTGATCAATGCAGTCATAATGAGTTTGTACTCCTCACGAGACCATTTTACCATTTCTTTCTTTAAATAAATGGTTGCGGATCTAGTTGAATATTTCACAGTGCCATCATTGGGATTATCCCGGTTGGGGGACCTGAAGATGAATTATTTGTGTAGGAGTTTTTGTTCCTATGGCAGATTTTTTTGACCTCAGGTAGGGTTCCCTACTGAGGGACGGGTTCGTTGTTTATCCACAGGAAGAGACAAACTGGAATTTTTGGTTTGACTTTTAATTCTCATATTGTACCCACGAGAGACGCAAAGGTCCAAAAGTTCACCCAAAGTCGCCTGGCACATTGGGTAACGCAACGATCTTTTACAGACAGGGTTCTGAAGTCTGTGGGGGATTGTTCACGACCTCATAACGCAGAAGCCATTCACTCCTCGGTACGATTAACACCTTGAGTTGTGGGTTGTTGATCTGAGGTTTATTTACTTCTCTTTAAAAAAATGGCCATACTAAGTTTTTTCAACTTAGTATAAGTCGCAATGACTACTACCAGATGAAATGTTAGGTGGACATACACTGGGTGTGTATCACGAGAAAAAATATTATTATTATTATTATTATTATTATTATTATTATTAGAGAGAGAGAGAGAGAGAGAGAGAGTGATAATGGTGAAAGAGAGAGGTGAACCGAAATAGATAGATAGATAGATAGATAGATAGATAGATAGATAGATAGATAGATAAACAAACAAAAAAAAAAGAAAGAAAAGCAACACTTTAAGCGGACTATTGCAACAGAAAAGGTTAAAAGTGTAATCGTTATTTCATTCTCTGTTCAACCCGATAAACAAATATACTTTGATCACCAGTTTCTTGACTTCCCCTAACATTTGAGTCAATATTAATTGCAAGTTATTTATTCTAATCTGGCGATAAAATTATCGTAACAATGAGAATAAACATTGTTAGCATTTGCCACATTTACAGGATAAGCGACGTTTGAGTTGGCGCTGTGAAATTCCGAATGGCGACAGAGATAACGAGACGCGACGGCTTTTGACAAACACTGCCGCCAAGATAAACGTTATATCTATATTTCTTTTTCTTTCCTTTTAACTTTTTTTTTTTCGCTCTAGATTTTCTTTATTTTTATTTCATTATTAATTGGCGTGGGTAGTTGAAGTGGGGGGGGGGTGAAGGTCATATAAGAAGACAGGTTTAGACTTGTTTTGTAACGGGAAAAAAAGAAAGAAAAATCTAAACAAAATAAAATATTAGTAAAAAAGAAAACAGATGAAGAATTTGAAGAAAAGAATAACTGAATGAAAGAAAATATTGAAAAAAGAAGTGAGAAAAAATAATCTGAAGAAAGAAAGAAAGAAAGAAAGAAAGAAAGAAAGAAAGAAAGAAAGAAAGAAAGAAAGGGTAAATCTAAACAAAAAATATTAGAAGAAAGAAAGAAAGAAAGAAAGAAAGAAAGAAAGAAAGAAAGAAAGGGTAAATCTAAACAAAAAATATTAGAAGAAAGACAGAAAGAAAGAAAGACTGGATGAAAGAAACTATTCTAAAAAAGAAGAGAAATAATCTGAAGAAAGAAAGAATTTGAATAACAGAAAAAAGAATAAAAATATTAAGTGACTAAAGAAGAAAATTTGAAAAAAGGAAATTAAAAATCCCCCCAAAACTGAGAAATTCTGGGACAAATAAATCTCACCCAAAAGAAACTTCAATAACCTGGTATTGGTTTGGATGTGCGTGTAACCCACATGGATACGACCAAAATTTTCTTTAACCAAAACAGGGAGAGGCTGGTGTCTGAATCAGTTAATCAAAGTAAAGCAAAGTGCAAGGGAATGGAAAACGGATTAGAAGAGAAAGCTACAAGGGTTTTAAAGGAAGATGATGTATGTCAAACACTTGTGCAGGAAGTAAAGAGAAATCTTTACGAATGTTATGATCGACTTGTAAATTAACTGGAAGCAACCTTTGACTCCACGTTTCATCTGCAAACTATCTTTGCTGGATTATCATCACAAGCAATCCTGGAAGATACTGAAGGCGAGATAAAGTAGCGAATACGGTGCTGACTTAGACGTATTTAAGCTGCATTTAGAAGTTCTCCGACTTCGGGATTTTTTAGCGGCAGCTTCCAAAGTGGAACGTGACATGACCATGATGACCAAATTATCGACTATCGAATGGCTGAGATGGATATTTCTCGATGGCAAGTTCAAGAAACAATGCCAAATCTTGTGATTGCTCTACGTCTATTTTTGACGCTCACAATTTCTGTTGCTACTGCAAAGAGAAGCTTCTCAAATCTGAAGCTCATTAAAAGTCACTTGAGATCGAATATGTCACCAGATCGCTTATCCAATTTGTCCCTCGTTTTAATTGGACATGAAACTGTGGAGAAGATAGACTTTAACCAAGTTATGTTGGAATTTAATTTGAGAACAACAATTTCACAAGTTCACATTCTCGCTATTTTTTCTATCCTCACTCCAACCGCTTTTTAATTTCAAAACCGGCTCCCAAGGCCTTCATTCTTATCAGAGATAAGAATATATTTTCTGAATAAGGAGAGAGCTGGAAAATATAAAAAGGAATTCCACCACCATTATTCTTTCCATGGTGCCATAAAGTCCCAGGGCCCTGATTCTTATCAGAGATAAGAATGTGTTTTCTGACCAATAGAGGGGCCAGGAAATTTGTACAACGATTTTGGAGGGAAATGTCCGCGATCCATCGGAGCCTACCAAAATTTCATAAATTTAGAGAATCTTGCCTATTTCGACACTGAGATTTCTGCCCACCGTCTGTAAGGTCGACATTAGGAAGCTCCAGTACCTCTTTCACCAAAGAAGACCTACTAAAAAGGGCTGTCAAAAACGAACGTCGGTCCACTATTCAAGACCAATCCAAAAAGCTGCATCCTTTCACCACTCCTTCTGACAAGCCCACTGGACTTCTGTCGTTGACCAAAAAAAAAAAAAACTCACTCAGCTGCAAGATTCCTTCATCTGCGAACAAATTTCCAACTCTGCAAGAACTGTGAGCGTTTCTATCTGAACCTTAACAATAACATCTAATCGCTTAAAGAACGCTTTAGGCGCTCAGAGAAATATTTTGAGCAAGCCTTTTTTTAAGTTAAGAACATTTTCTCTTTTCCCTTTCTTTCTCTACTAATCGTCCTTTCATCCCTTTACCTTTTTTTTTTTTTCTGTATTGTAAATAAACACTTTCTTCTTTTGTTGTTACTCACCGAACAGGAGTTTATTCTTTATTCGTACGCGCCTATAAGAGAGAGTTTGTCCGCTCTAATCTTGATGTTTTACTTGCGTTTTTCCGCAAATTTTTAAACCTCAACCCTATTTTTAAACTCAACTCTTTGATGCGGGAAAGCCGGGACAAATTTCCTAGCAATAACTTTGCTTCTACAAAAGCTCGAAAAGTTAGAATATGAAAACGTTTGTTCGGCTAATTTTTGCATTTGTTGTTTTTCTTTTACTAATCAACACTTTTCCTCCAAAAAAGGAGGCGCCATTATGAATACAGGCCCCGGGCGGCATTTTGCTTCGGTACGCCCCTGGAACAACCAAAGAGAAAGTTAGACTAATTTCATAGGTGAGGTTTTTGGGAGACATGTGTTGGAAAGTGAAAAAAAGAGTTCAGTAGTCAGTGGACTAGGGAAACTAAGATTCCTCGGTGGTTGGGGAGGCGTAATTACCACGTGGTTCTACATGGACCAAAAAGGAGAAAGCGGCCCAGCAAGGAAAATGTTCGCCTTAATCAGCGCCGTCTAAGAGCGTTTGATTGAGTCAAGTGGAGGTAATCATATTTCCGGTTCCTTTGCTCTTAGCATCATGGGAAAATTTCTTTTTTATTGTTCATTATTTTTATTTTGTTTATCGATTTTATTCCGTTTTCTCACAGAATTTTTTCTAAAGTTGTTTTTAAAGTTTTTGACTTTTAGTCAATCATTTCTTGAGAAAAAATCGTCTGCTATAGAATAGGATAGTTCACTTATCTAACGAAATTAATTATTCATCTATCCAGGAAATGACGTCACAAAAATAAAGGTTGAACAGTAAAACTCTAGGTTTTAGTCACGCATAGTCACGCTTAGAAAACTTTAAACTATAAAAGATTCTTTTAAGAGAATAATAAAATGAACATAATATCTCATGATAAAAAAGAATTTTGAAATATTGAGGTTGACATAAGTTTTTGTTTTTTGATGATGTCGCTTGTTTTGTTTTTTTAATACACAAAAATTCTAAATGAGTGACGACAAATGGGTTTGAACCAGTTATCAAAAGTTGTTTTCTTGCTAAATACTGATGAACAATCACGTGATAAATAAGCCCATTGAGAATAGCCAGGTACGATAGGAAGTTTGCAGGTAAAAATGTGAGATGAAAAATAGAGTGGAGAGATTGGAAATAAAAAGACTAAGAGAAAAAAATGGAGCGGGCGGGTGGGGGGAGGAAGAAAGAAGATGGAACGAAAGAAATGCATAGGAAATGAAGAGCAAAGGAAAGATTGAAAGAAGAGAATCCTAAAAACAATTAAAACTATAAACAGCTGAACAAATCTAGATAAAGATTTATGAATAATATGAGACAGATAGATAGATAGATAGATAGATAGATAGATAGATCCAAATGACTATGATAGATAGATAGATAGATAGATATGAATAGACTGAGATAGATAGATAGATAGATAGATAGATAGATCCAAATGACTATGATAGATAGATAGATAGATAGATCCAAATGACTATGATAGATAGATAGATAGATAGATAGATCCAAATGACTATGATAGATAGATAGATAGATAGATAGATATGAATAGACTGAGATAGATATATCCAAATGACTATGATAGATAGATAGATAGATAGATAGATAGATAGATAGATCCAAATGACTATGATAGATAGATAGATAGATAGATAGATATGAATAGACTGAGATAGATAGATAGATAGATAGATAAAAATAAATCCTTGAGTAAAGTAAATTTTCATCATTTTTTTTTTCAATTCCATCCCTGTTCGTACATGCTCTGAGTTTGAAAAGCAAATTAATCATTGAAAGAAAGGGTCTCGTATTTCAATAGTTGGCCCCTAGTTTCTTTTAAGTTCCCATCAGATAAATGAAAGCGATCAGAATTCTCCCGGCTTTTCTCTTTCTCTCCTCTCTCTCTCTCTCTCTCTCTCTCTCTCTCTCTCTCTCTCTCTCTCTCTATATATATATATATATATATATATATATATATATATATATATATATATATATATAAATCCCATCAAAAACAAGTCCGGTCTGGTCCAGTCGTCACAGCCTGCTTCTCTTCTACCTCGCTTTTTAACCTTTCACCACCATTCAAGTCGATCTACAATGATGCCCCCCCACTGCCACTTTGATAAAAGCTTTTATTAAAAGCCTTTATAGCGTGACACGTTTATAACAGCCTTCGCAGGGTTCGACAAGTTGTGATAAGACAGCCCGTTTCATAGACAATTATCTGAACTCGACTCAAGGTGAACTGCCACAAATACTCTGATTTAGTCTTTAATGATAGATTTAAATGCACCAAGTTAAGACACCGAAGAGAGATGTTTATGAAGTATATTATGGCACAACGTCATGAGTCACCATTTAATAAATAAATAAATTACCTGGAATTTATTTACATTTTTTTTTATCTTTTAAATTAATTTTGAAATTGATTAACAATATTATAATTGTTTATCAACCTTTTCATGTTGTTTAAAGCCAAAAAAAATTTTAGACTGGAAGAAAATTTTGAATATAATAACGATTTTTACTAATTAACCCATAGCTGGGGGAGAAGATGTGGATTCATTCATTTCTCAATCATATTTACGTGCAAGTGAAAGTAACGAACGCGACTGAAAATGGAACTTGGTTCTTCAATTTCCAATTTCGATCCGTTATGCATTACATAACAGTTACATCCAATCTAACGGCACTTGGTATTACGAAGCGGTCACCCATTTAGGTACTGACCAGGTTCGACGTTGCTTAACTTTGGTGATCGTACGGGAACCCGTGTTTCAACGTGATATGGCCCTAAACAGATTATTTAACAAGTTCCAATAAATGAAGATGTGTACGATAAACAGTGTGCCCAGACATTTAGTGAGTGTTATTATTCACAGGTTAGAGAGAACTGCAAGCGCATTGACTTCATTTGTTTATGAGTCTTTCGATCTCTAGCCGTTTCGCCTCTTTAATGTTAATCACGGTTTAGATTTGTGCAGACGTGCTGTATTTTCAAGTTGACTGACTACAACCTGTTGAAAAGACCCATATTGACCTTTTTCAGGAGATACAAACTCGATTTTTAAAATTTTTTATCAAACCAACAACGATTGGTTGAAAATTCTCTAAACCTGTTTTGTACTACACCTGCAAATGTTAAATCATTGCATAAGTTAGAAGCGCGAAAGATTGCTCCCATCTTTGTTGTTCTTATCACGTTTCGACCGTTTGCCTTTCCGGTCATCATCAAGTGCTTGTCGATCCGAGTTTCCTTCAAAGAATTTATAACTGAACCGTTTCTGTATGTTTTTTTTCTCGAAATTTGGAACAAAATCTTCTTTAAAGCTACCTTTCGACTTTTAACAAATAGATACATACTTCTATTATCTCCGCCTAAAACTCTGAACTTTTATTTACTAGTGATTTACATTTTTTTCCTCAATCGGAATGGATAGATTTTCCTCTCATCCTATTCACACTGCTTCCCTATACGCACTGCTTCCTGGTTTTTTGAACAGGAGTAGAGGTTTATCACTTGTTTCCTGTTTAGGATTGGGCTTCCGCTTCCTCCTAGAGTCTACTACAACTCTATACTTCTAACGTCTCCGCCTAAAACTCTGAACGTTTATTTATTTTTAAGCATTACTCTCCGAGCAAGGCGTGAAGCCACTAAGATGCAGGGGGTTGCAGAAGATTAGGAGCAAGAGCAGATAGAAGTGTTAGAAGAAAGGATGAGGAGAAGGGTAGTGGATAGATCAAGGTAACTGGAGATGTAGAATTAACATTACATTTGAATAATTGGAGATTATAGCTCTCAGGAAAACAGTAATTGGGAAGGGTGTTTCACAGGCGAGAGGTGCGAGGTATGAAGCTATTGGAGTAGAAGAGACGGCTACATTTAAAAGTTTCTACAGTGTAAGGGTGGGAGCGGGATGCCAGCCACGTAGGGCGCTTGAATTCATGGAGTCTGGAAACCAGTGAAAGCAGCTCATCGGAGCAATTACCATGAAAGTATTTGTAGAAAAGACAGAGAGAGGCGACGGCGCGTCTGTGAGAGAGTGACTGTAGACGAGATGCCAGATCAGGGCCAATTATATTACATATCCGTCTCTGGATCTTGTCAAGAACTCCGAGGTAAACAGAAGGTGCACCAGACCATATATGGCACCAATACTCCATGCAAGGGCGAATGGTTGATTTGTATATTTGAAGTATCGATTCCGGGTAGAAAAATTTCCTGGCGCGGCAGAGAGCCAACTTTCCTTGCAGTGGGCGAAGCAATTGACTCAATGTATTTGTTCCATCTCAGGTCAGCAGTCAACGTGAGACCGAGCAGATGCAGAGAGTTGCTCTCAAGAAGTTGACTATCAGATATTCTAATGGGGGGGGAGGGCAGGGAAGGATCTCTATGGTGATTAATAGAGAGTAGTTTAGTTTTTGAGGCGTTAAAGTTGACCAGCCAATTCATGCCCCAATTAACAATCGATTGGATGTCCATTCCAAGACGCACGGCCAGGTTAGTTTTGTCAGCGACACTAGATTTGTTTTTGAGGCAGGAGTAAATTGTAGTGTCGTCCGCGTAGATGCCAACTTGGGAATACTATTTATTTACAATAGGAGTAGGTAGGTTTGCCTATCGTCTTTTTCAAACTTCTACTCAGTTTTTTTGAACAGGGACAGAGTTTTATTCCTTGTTTCCTGCTTAGGATTGGAATTTCTATTCTAAAATCTTTTCCTTTCTTTTTGTTATATAGAAATAAACTGCCGGCACTTGAGTTGGAACATAGATCGCCAGTGAGCAAATACAGCCGATCCCATTATTGAATTAAGTAGACCACGTGACCATTGAGGAAACGCATATATGGTAGGTATCGTGTGTTTAATTGAACGTTATTTCTCCTCTATCCTCTATTACTATACGAACCGCTGTTCTCTATACTATTCACTATATTATTTCACTATATGGATTACTTTTCGAGCGAGAATTATCGAGCAAGTACTATTAGCGCGTGTGCTATTCGAAGGCGTCTGGCACCAGTATTGTTCAACGGCGTTACTATAGTTTCAATTTGCGATTACAAAGTCTCTACTTAAACGAGAATTACGAAAGTGGCAACGAGTATTCGTTGACATCACAAAAATGTCAAAAGAGTGTTCGTTGACATCACAAAACCTTCATTTCCGGTGGTCCCTTGCGTCTTGGTGACACAATGACCTTGCTTGGGGTGGTGCCTCTTACTATGTAACCTCTTACCTCGAGTGGCTCTTGGGCTTTATACAAGATGAACATCATTCTAAAATCAGCATTGTAAAATGCAATTTCTAGTTAATTTACTCGATACGCTGCAAAGTGAAATTTTGCTTCTTGGAATATTTTCAACCGATACGAAGGGCCGACTGCGTTGATATTTTTAATTTCAGAAAAGATTTTTTTTTAATTCTTTTCTACTCTGTATCACTCCCCTCCCCTTCAGATTGTATCAATCAATAGTTTTCCAACGAACACTTCTCGAAGAAGACATATTCTAGCGATTCCTTAACTAGAAACCCGAAGAGGTTCGGGCACGCCAACAACTCGAATATAGAAAAAGTAATACCAGAGGATGCAACATTATTACCTAAAGTAGTACTTGAAACACAGTTTTATTTATTTTCAATTAAATTTCGTTAGGAACAAAGAAAAGAGTGCTGAACTGTTATGTAATATCAACCCTCTTGTATGGAAGTAAATCCTGGACAATCTCCTCAGATGAAGAGAAAACAGGAGGTAATAGAAATGTAGTTCTACAGAAGGATACTGAGAATTCCATGAACAGAGCGGGTAAGCAACAAGGATGTATTAAAAAAAATGGCAAAAAAAACACTTCAACTCAGAATGAAAAACAGATGACAACCTTCTGCCAATGGATAGCAGTACGTTAAGCGAGTGGGTGCATGGCGTTAAAAGCATTTAATGTTGGACAATTTCCTCGCAGATAAAGAGAAAACTGGAGGCAATATTGTTCTACAGAATGATGCTGAGAAAACTATGGACGGAGGGCATAAGCATCGAAGAAGTCTTAAGGAAAATGGAAATAAAACGGACACTTATACTCAAAATTAAGAGACAGCTGAAATTTCTTTGACACGTCATGAGGAAGGAAGTCTTGGAGAATTTGACACTCAGAAAACATCGTAAGCAAAAGTGACAGGTGAAGACAGCGGCCCACCTACGTGACGTGCTTGTCTGAATGAGGGGCGGTACCGGTGAGCGAAGAGCCACAAGGAATAGGAGGCTGTGGAGAGTCATATCAACTACGTCCGACATATCCAAAAAAGATCGGGAGCGCTAAATATTTTATATTCATTTATAGTTTTTCGTAGACTTTAGCCAAAGACATTAACACTTTGAGCCCTGTGTTTCTGAACAATTTGAACCCTTCTGTCTGATTTCTTGTTTCAAAATTTGCAAATAATTGCTATATAATGTTTCAAGGTAGATATACAATTAGTTACAAGTATTTATCCACCGTTCAGCCGGTGGCTGGGCATTAAGTAATTTCTCTACCACCGGTAAAGCGGTGGTCAGAGCTCAAAGTTTTAAACGCAGTAATTTTTTTTCTTTTCTTTCTTGTTTATTTATACTTGAACTAATATCCTCATCTTTATTGTTATTATTATCACAGTCTTTCGGCGGTTGTATCCAGTAACTTATTTTTTTACAGTAGTTTTTTTTTATTCGTTATCTAAAGGAAATAAAAAAAAAAAATGACAAGTGGATTTTCTTAGTCAGAGGAAAAGATATTGAAAGCGCATGATTCATGTCTTTCATAAATTTGAAGATAGGGTGAAGCAGTTTTGGGATTGTACTAAGAGAAACAACATTTGAAAATAAGAAGACCGTTAATTTTCCTCGATAGGTCAGCTCGGAAATACAAACGTGCCGAGCAACAATCTTGCATGAATTTTAAGGTGACACTTCAAGAACTGAAGTCTTTTTATCAACAAAAGTAGGTGCAAGGTTGCGCTTGTTAATATCTACATCGATATTTATATCTATAGATACATATATATTTATTTGCGTGTGAGCGCGTGTTGATATTTACACAGATACCTATTTATATATATCTATACATTTGAGGTGTTACTTAACAGTAAAACATAGTTTTCATTGTTTTCTGCGAAATAGTCTCTTTGAATATAACAAAGGATTGTAGAAAAGGTCCGTACTATATCCACATTCCTCGTAACTTTTGTTACTATATATATATATATATATATATATATATATATATATATATATATATATATATATATATATATATATATCAAAAGATAGCCCAGGTGTCAATCTCACGATCTTCAGACGACGTGATCGCCTCCTAGATCGTGAGAGCGTGAAATTCGAGTTCCGATTCGGGTTGTCCTTTGATAAGAGTTGTCACTGTGAAGCTTTTTTTTTCTCTGTCTAGGTAATCTAGGCGCCGAGCAATTTACTTCACTGAGTAGGAAGGTTTTTACCTTTAGGTCTTTTTTCTCTTTTCTTTCCTCCGTCGAGAATCTCTCTTGTCTAAGGTGTGAGGCCTTTTGGCAAATCGTCTGTTGATTGCACCAACGTCGTTGGTTTTTCTTTAGTATATATACATATATGTGTGTGTGTTCGTGTGTGTGAGATAGCCGTCGAGTATCACAGTTGCTGACAAGTTTCACCCATGGTATTAGCTCTCTTAAGAGAAAAAATGGCTGTTGGAGCCAATGAATTACGTTTGATGCTTATTGCAGACGCGGCAAACTAGATTGTTGTGTACAGTGCCTGGCATGTTTTGTAAATT